GCAGTTGCCAATGCCCACCTTCCTTCCTCTGAAAGGTTATATAAAAGGTGCCCAAGGATGAGCTCCTCTTCCTTCTTTTGTGAGGGGAATGGCTGTTCTGAGCGCAGAGCTCATCTCCTGGATTGGGGCTCTCCCATAATCAGTGATTTTCTAAGGCCATAAGAAATGTCCCAGGCAGGCAGTCCACGAGACCTATGGGAGCACTGAGGGCCAGGTCACTCGAGGTCAGAATGTCAGCTTCAAGTGATTAAAAATGTCCCTAAAAAGTTAAGACAGCCCCAAAATAGTTTCTCTTAATAGTCTGTTAAGGGATCTAGTCACTAGTGACTTTATCTGAACCTGCCTCGAATCTCCTTAGATTTTCAGTTTATACTCACTGGGGAATAAATTCTCTAAAGCCAGTTCTGCTGTGGGAAGCAGGAAGGCCTTTCATTTGTCCTAAATTTACTTCTTCTAAGCTAAGTGAAGCTCTCTTAATCCCATGGTTTGGATCTGAATTGTGCTCCCTCCCTAACTGCATGGCTGTTCAGACTACAATGAAACAACTTTCTAAGTCTTGATCTCCTTGCACTCAAGAGACCTCATCTTTTCAAGCCTTTGTGGCTGGAAAGACCTAGCTGGAAATGTTTTTGGTATCTCTTTAGACCAGAGAGCCAGTTTAAAAGGATTGGCAGGATGTCGCCAGAGACCATAGGTTACTAGATCTCAGTCCTTCATTTCTGAATTCTCAATACTGCCTTTCCCAGGTCTGTGGCTAGCACATGGCCTGAATCACAGCATCTCAGATCTGGAAGATTTTAAAATTTACCTGCTCCAACAGCCCTAGCCCCTAGCCCACACTTTTACAATGTCCCTGACAAGTGGCTCATCCTGCCACTGTTTGAACTTCAGCAATGATGTGGCAGTCACATACTACTTCCCAGAGCAGCCAATTCTCCCCCCACTGTTACAGAGTTTACCCCTATCTTCCAGTAGGTAGGTTTGCCTTTTGGCACCAGTTCTATCTCATGACAGCTATCAGAAAGCAGAAAATATTAAATCATGGGCTCCTTGAGACTATTACTATTCAACTACAGCAACTTTAACTCTAAAAAAAATACATTTGCCAAATGCTTCAACCTCCTGGTTTTCTCTCCATTGAGAAGAATGATCCAGGTAGAGTTAGAGTTTATCCTTGGTATACTATGACCTTCAGACTGGTAAAAACATTGCAAGTGTGGTATGAGCAGTTCAGGGTAGGGGAAGAGGTTTGTCTTCCTCCTGGACACCATACATGTATTAATGCTTCCAAAGGCTGAGTCTTAGAATCACTCCTCATAGGTCTAACTCAAAGCCAAATAGAAAGCCCATTAGTATCTAAATTCCCTGCATTAGCTAGTCAGCCCTTTGGCCCTAGAAGATTTGATAGAAAAATAAAAAAGAGTGGGAGCAGTGGAATTGAAAAAAGATTAGCTACATGAAGGCGAGCACTAGGATGCCACCTCTATTGGCATGACCTAAAAGCTCTGAACTCTCTACTTGATGTTCTTTCTCTGATTCCTGGGAGTCTCAGGAGCAGCCCACGCCTCTCCAAGGCCTCAGGATGTAAGCTAAGCTCAGATCCCAGATGACAGGCCCCACCGGGTCAGTGAATATGAGGGTAGACCCAGAGGCTTTGGCCATCACTGGCCACCAGGTGTCACTGCCACCTTGAGAACTGTCTCTCTAAAACACTAATGTCAATAGGCAGCCCCAGAGCAGGCAGTCAAGCCAGGCTGAGACTAAGTTGTCACCAGCTTTGCCACTCACCTCCCTGCTTTCAGAGACATAGCCAGTGCCTCTCATACTCCTGCCTCTGTTCCTTTAAACTGGTTATAGCAGCTGGCCTGGGTCCACTTTTATGACTTTGTTTTCTATGATTTACCCATTCTAGGCTATGGGGCTGGCTGACAATAGGCAAGGTGTGCCCTCTATTCCCCTTCCCCTCCCGCTCCCCAATCACTCCAGCCTCCTTTAGGTACTCTTCTAGATCAAAGAAATAAAAAACTCAGGAGCTGCAGGTAAGGATAGAGAGGTAAAAAGAAGGAAGGAAGGAAGGAAGGAAGGAAGGAAGGAAGGAAGGAAGGAAGGAAGGAAGGAAGGAACCTTAACAACAGTAATTTCAGTGGGATGGTAGAAGTGGAATACTGATAGGAATGGGTTGAAAAGAAAATCTGATATGATAAAGGGAAGATGGTGACTAAGGCAACTCAAGATGATTTATTGTGAAGGGGAACAGAAAAATGGGGCAGTAGCTGGAAGAGAGCAGGAGTTGAGGAAAGTCTTTGTTTTTTATTTTTTAAGTGAGAGATATTTGTGTGTTGATGTAATAATCTTCTGGAAAAGGAGAAATTGAAGATGGAGAAGAGAGGGAATACTTGAAAGTAAAATGGTGGGATCCAGATTACCAATAGAAAGTGGGCCTTCGAAGCAGTTTCATGTGGGTAAAGATTCAGGTAAGTTGATAGATGTGATAGTGGGAATACAAAGGCAATCTGGTCTGACAGTCTCATGGGCCTGAATCCATGATGACTGAAATGTGACCAATGGAAAGGTGCTATTATCAAGGAGAAATGGGAGGTAGAAATATGACCAATACAGTCATGACTTCAAGCCCAAGTTTCAGCTTTTGCCAAGTATGGCATATTGTTGGTTGTCTTCTGTCTTTTGGGTGACCTGGGTGAAGGCAAAAGGTTCAGAGGAAGCTAATAGAGAATACAAGACACCATCCAACAAATGGTGATGACCTCTGTAAATTTAGTCATGATTTCAATTTAGGATATAAATAACTCTTGGACACAAACTGTATCTCATTCATCACTATAGCCCTAACTCTATTAACTAATTTTAAGTATAAACTTTGGGCTAGGCCTGTGCTAGTCGGTAGTAACACAGATGAATGAGGCATGGCCTTAGCTCACAAAGGGCTGGAAGCATTTGAGAATTTATTTGCTACTTTAATTTAATTTAACTTAACTTAATTATGTATATAATAAAGACTTTGTCCTTACCCAAAGAGAGATTTGGCCTTTGTCCACCATTCCTGAGAGGTACCTATAAACTCTTAGAATTTCCTGAGTGATAGGAGTATCTTTGTTATTCATGGTGGGGGCCCCCTTAGACCACACCTTATAGTGTATAATACTGAGGTCACTCATGATGGGTTCCTTGGGCCACATGATATTAACTTGACCTCCAGGAAGGGGGGAATTGGAGTTTGAGTTCTACAAGATGATTGACCAATCAATGTCTATGAAATGAGACCCCAAAAAAAACTCTGAACACCAAAGCTCAGGTGAGCTTCCCTGGTTGGGAATCCGTCCTGTGTTATTGTCACATATGGATGCCAGGAGGCTAATGCATCCTAAAGACAACTGAACTTTTGTGTTTAGAACCCTCCCAGACTCTATCCTATGCATCTTCCTTTGGCTTATTTTTTACTTGTATCCTTTCCCATAATACACCTGTAAGTATAATAGCTTTCAATAAGTTCTGTAAATCCTTCCAAAGAATTGTCAAATCTGAGGGTGGTTTTGGGGAATCTCTGAACTTTCTGTTGGTGTCAGGAGTGAAGGCAGTCTTGTGGAGGACTGTGCCTTCAGACTTTGCAGTTAGGGTGACTCCATGTTTCGTGTGATCTTAGAATTCAAAGGGATCTAGAGATCATGTAATTCAGCTCCATTCTATAGGCGAGAAAAGAGAGGTCTAGAGATGGGAAGTTACCCAAGGTCACATAATGACACGACAGAGTGAGACTAGCCTCTGAGTGTCCTAAGTCCCAGCATGGTATGCTTTCCACAATATTCTGTTGTCGCTTCAAATGTGAGGCTGAGCAAAGAAAAGCTTATCCCTGAGCCAGATTGGCTTTGCTACAAGGGATGTTTGCAGTAACCCCTATATTTAGGGAAGCTCATTCCTTACTAGGTTTTCTGCCTTGACTGATGGATTACTCCTTAAAATATTTAAGCTGCAACATTAATGTTTATAGAGTAAGGGGCTTATACCAAAAAAGAACTAATGCTTTCTGTGAGGTGGAAACATTTTTTTGTGGATTTTCTCTTTGTTACTGAACATTTATGCTTCAGAGATTATTTTCATATAATCTAAATTTTATTGCTAGAAGAGATCATGGCAATGTTTTTGTTCAACCCTCATTTTACAGGCAAAGATGCTAAGGCACAGAAATAGGAAGAAATCTATCCAAGGTCACTTCATAATTCAGTGGCAAGGACAGGCTAAACTCAGGTAACAATAGGGACCTTTATTGAGTGCTTTGAGGTACTACGACATATTTTAAGTGTTCTACTTCATTTGATTCTCATAACAACCCTAGGAGATAGGTGCTATAGTTCAGAGTTCTCCTGAGCAAGAGATAAAAATGGCCAAGGTCACAAACCTAATAAATGGAGGGTCCAGGATACAAAGTTGGGTAGTTCTTGCTTCAAAGTCTACCATCTAAGTCACTACTATGTTCTACTTCCCTGTTTGAGATAAAATTTGAAAGAAAAATTTCTGAGAGATTTTCATTTACAAATGATAAAACTTGAACTCTAAAAAGGATAGTAACTTCCCCTCAATGTCACATAGCTAGGGAAGAGCTAGACTAGGACTCAGATTTTGGATTAAGAGTTCTTACTACTTTGTTATACAAAAGTTCAGTGGAGAGAAGAGTTTGGGGAAATCTTTGAAAAGTGAGGTATCTCCTAGATGGGACTAAAGATCCTTGGGCCCAGGGGCCTTTGCCTTCCTTTGGACCATTCTAGAACCATAGAGCCTGAAGTTCCACAACAACTTCAATGTGTACTTCCCACTAGACCTGCAGAGGGGAGGGAAGAGAAAGAAAGGAAGGAAGAGAAGACTCCATATATCCTATTCAGGCCTATAGGTATCTGACCTCTGTTCCATCCTAGAGCCACCATAGTCTAGAGCAGTGGGCTTGGGAATGGTTCTTGGCTTTCCTGTGTCTCTTCCCAGCTGCTTACCTGTGGCTGCTGGGTGGTTAAGGGTCTCTGAGGAGACAGGACAGGGGTCCTAGACAGCAGCTGGTTCATCTTGCTGATGACTAGTTCGGTGATGAGTTGTTTGTCCTCCACCTGGTATTCCCCAATTAGCGGCATACTGCAGTCCATGACCTGGTAGAAGACAAGGCCCAGGTTAGAAAAGGGTCTGGAGACATTAAAGGCCTGGTACAGTATTTCAGAATAAGTAGGACTTAAGCCAGCAGAAATTGGTTGGGAATAAAGCTGGTGTTGTTCTCTTCAGCTGAAAGCATGTTCCTTTGCAGAAAGAGGACCTTTGTCCCATCTTCCTTCAAACCTCTGCCATGGGCATCCGCCAATCTTCACCCAGGCCAGTGCTCAATGACACTGAAACGTTGGTTACTGAAGGTAGTGAGTGGAGAGAGGTAGAGAGCCAGATAGAGTATAGACCAGAAGGGCTCAGAAGTTTGCAAGCGAGGGGACCAGGAACAACTGAAGACCATTCCCTTAACGCTCCAGTTAGAAGCAGGCAGTTTTCATCTCTGACTTTTCACCCACACAAACTGTATCTCCACAGGTACTCTGACCATTAAATGACTAGACTCCTGCCTTTGCCCATGACCTGGGATGACTTCCCTTTTGCTCCAATCATGATCCTTCCTATATTCAAGGTCCAGATCAATGTTTTCCCACTTTAGGAAGAGCCCGCCTGCCTGCCCAGGATCACAATGTATTCCAACTCTCATAAATGATGGATGACAAAACTGAGGCCCACCCAGAGAGGGGAAGCAGACCATGGAGTAGCCCACTTTGGGATCCTAACACTAACTCTCTGCAAATACCACCAACTCCGGGCAAGGAGCCTTTTCTGCGTGTTAGAAGACTGGGCAGAAATGTGTGTGAAGGATTCCTACTGTCACTGACTTTCCCTTTAATACAGAAAAAGGAAGTCAGAAAAGTTGTGTTTGAAGACCAGACTGAGTAAAGTGTCTTCAAGGCACAGAGAGATGCTAAGAAGAATCTCCTGCATCCAGGAGACCTGATTTCTAGCCCAGGTTGAGACAATAATTCACTCTGTGGCCTTGGGCACAAGTTCATGATATGAGACCTCAGTTTTTCTCACCTGCAAAGTGAGTAGATTAGATTGAATGATTCTTTCTGAGACCAAGAATGGTAAAAAAAAAACACTACATTCTTCCCAGAGGAATGATACTTGGCTAGGAGCCCAGGAACCCAGATCTGGTATCTCTTACCCATAGTGTGGGTCAGCCAAGCTGGTTGAAAGCAATAACTCCCCACTGGTGAAGGTGTGTTGCTATGCACATCCACTGGTTGTGTCATGTGGGAACCTTCCCATGGCCCAGGAGAGTCTAACCTAAATGTAGTCCGGGCCATTCACACAGTCATCAAACCAAGAGCTGGCTTCTAGCCTTGGGGGTTGTCTCTTACTAAGGTACTCCTTAAGTCATACTTACCTCAAAAATGTAGTCTCTCCCATCTTTGCCATGCACAGCTTTGACAGCACAGATGTCCAGGCCACCAAACATCTCAGAGCAGGTATCTACCCACAGCTTGTACCTGGAGGAGATGGAAAGATATCCTGAGGCTGGGTCATTAGCTCACATCCAGCCTGCTTTCTGGTCACACTCTCATTGCTGCCAGCTTCGATCACCACCCCTCTCCAGCCCTCCCTCCCTCCACTCCCATTAAGCATATTGCCTTATCTTCTGTGCCCTCCAGCTTTGCTCTCCAGATACCTGTCTTTTCAGGCTCAGAGCAGGCCTCATCAACTCTAGGTGGCCTTTCCTTGGCTATTCCAGCCTACATTAACTATTCCTTTCTTGGAGCTTCTGTGGTATGACCAGTCTTTATCTCCATAACTTAGCACATAACCTAGTCCTGCCTGATCTTGCTAACTGGCTGCTTGGGCCTTTGTGTTCTATCCATCCAGTCTGATTAGAGGTGCCCTTCGGGCAAGGCCCAGTTCTTATAACTCTTCATCTAAAGAAGGCCCCCTCTTGCTGTGCTAGGGACTGGACTCCTTTTTACACTCACCTGTCTGACATGGCGATCTGTTCCAGCATTGCAGAGCCAGTGTTTGTCTTCCAGTTTCCTGAGATCGATGTCCTCCTACAACAAGGTCCCGCCAGGATAGGACAGGCAGTAAGCCACCCAAGCAAGAGGAGGGCATAAAATTTTCCATATTTTTAGCTCACCACTGCTTTCCTCATCTGCTTCTCCCACAAACAGCCCAGGGCCCTGTTGCTAAGCCTAGAGCCTGGCTGCCTCTGCCAAACCTCCACCTGCTATGCTCTCCTCCTCTCTATGAGAGTCCAGCTCACTGCTCTAGCTCCATGGAGCCTTCATGATCTTTCAGACAGATGAGCGCTTGCTCTCTTAAGAGCCCCTATAGGACTCTGCCTATACTTCACTTTCAATCTTATATCTATTTTTAACTTTAGTTATTTGATCTAAGTCTTCTGTCCACAAGTCTGTAAGCCACTTACGGGTATATACTATTGTCTTGCATACTCAGCAACCTATCCACTAAGTATCTGGGCTGACTTCATACAGTAGTCCCCTTGATCCATGCTTTAATTTTCCATGGTTTTAGTTACCTGTGGTCAACCAAAGTCTGAAAATATTGAATGAAAAAACTCAGAAATAAACAGTTCATACGTTTTAAATTGTGCACTGTTCTGAGCAGCATGATAAAATCTATCGCTCTGTCCCACTCAGGATTTAAATCATCCTTTTGTCCAAGTATCCATGCTGCATGTGCTCCCACCCATTAGTCACCTTGGTTATCAGATCAGCTGTCGTGGTATCACAGTGCTTTTGTTCAAGGAACCCTTATTTTACTTACTAATGTCTCATTCATCTCACTTCATCTTATCACATAGGCATTTTATCATCTCACATCATCACAAGAAAGGTGAGTACAGTACAATAAGATATTTTAACAGAGAGACACCATAATCACATAATCTTTATTGGAGTATGTTATTATAATTGTTCTATTTTATTATAGTTATTGTTAATCTTTTACTGTGCCTAATTTATAAATTAAATGTTATCATAGTTATGTAGGTATAGGAAAAAAAACATAGTATATATAGAGGTTGATACTATTCATGGTTTCAGGGATCCACAGATAAAGGGGGACTACTGTATATACAAACTGAATTCTATTGATCCTGAAACCTCCTCAGAGTTCTGTGACTATCTCCCAATGGCTTCTGTATTAGCTCACTTATTCATTCATTCAACAATTGGTTTTTGAGAGCCTGCAGTATTAGCAATATGACTCTGGATAAGTCAGTTAACCTTTTCAGGCTTAAGTTGTTTCATCCATCAAATGGACCTGTTCTCTGCTATGCCCTCTGCACCCTCCATCTATGAGCCTGTATTAGAGTCAACTAGTCTTGGGCTAAATATGAGGCAGATAACCTGATTTCTGGTTTTGGATTTGCTCTTGACTGGCTGGGTGACCTTGGGTGAATCACTTCACCTAACTGAGCCTCTCTTATCCATATGTAAACATAAAGTTATTTTATAATTTTAAATAAACTGTAACATACCAAAAATATGTATTTTTAATTATTAATCTTTACTCAGATACAGTCAAGAGGATGGGGATGGCCTAAGGGACAGAAAAGTCCTTCTCACACCACTGATAGGGACCTTCTTATGCTGTCTTTATCACTCACTACTGGTTGGAGATTGGATGTGCGAGTCTCCACTCAGCAGTTTCCAGGAGTATCCTCCCTAGATATCTGATTTCAAATACTGAGAAACCTAGTACAGCTAGTTTTTCTGAGCCCTGAGATGCAGTGAATTGAGTGATGTGGTAATAACAACTCCTCACACTCCTAGTACTGACTGCTTTCCAGGATTCTTCCCTCCCAAGCCCCTCACCAGAACCTCATTGCAAGCCCCCTGTTGTGAATAGGCTGCGATTCTTGCTTCCACTTTACAGAGATTAAGACTCAGAGGTTGGATGACTTGTCCAAGATTGTATGTCTAGTCAAAGTAGATATAAGATAAAAATCCAGGTCTCTTTATTCCCTCATTGTGCTATATTTACCTCTACACCCTACACAGAAAAAACAAGCTCAGAAAAAACAAGCAACTCACAGAGGAGGGGCTTGAAAAATCTGAGTAGCAATACAAAGACAGATCATATGAAAATAACACTGTCTTCCTAACACTGGTATTTTACAAGTGTGTTGCTGTGACAGGCTGGGTTCCTCAAGGGCAGAGGCAGAGAGTTATTCATTTCCATGTCCCTAGAACAGGGCCATAGTACATAGTTTCTGATAACAGGGTTGTCAGAAACTTTGAATGAGCAATAATAATGTCCCTTACACTTCACACCTTTCTCTAATAACAGGATGCATGGCACAGATCCATACAGGCTACCTGGGGCATGTGGTAACAAAGGGGACACCGAGACTCGCAGGACATCTGACCTCCACAGAAGGACCCAAATTATTGCCTAGTGAGAGTGGGGCAGGAACAGCACCGTCTTTACACCGAATATGTCTGCTCCTGGATTTCTAGGGTGAGAACTGAGGGAGAAGGAAAGAATTTCAAACTTTATCTTGGCTATTGCCAAGCCAATTCCTTCTTCTGAGAGCAAAGGGGTAGCCAAAAATTTGGGGAAGAAGAGCCAAATAACTGTCTGTCTCCTGCAAATAAAAAAGGAAGTAAATAATTTCTAAAGCTGCTCTGGTCGCCCACCCTTTATCAATAGTTGGGATTCTCTTATGCTTCATTTAAATTGCTTTTGGAAACCCTAACCCTTAAAAATGTGGTGTGTCTCCTTTTTAAGGATAAAGACACTCTAGCTTCATTGTCAAAAATTTTGTATTTAGGAGATTTTAACATTAAAGGATAGGAAATCTGCTTTCTTATTGGCCGAATATATTAATTTTCTTCTTTAGATAGTATTTTTACAATGGTATTTTAAATTATCCCTTCTTACACTGTGCATAATTTTAAAGCAACCCTAAATTCCTTTCTGAAGCAGAAAGACTACAAGTAAAAATTATAAACTTTCAAAAAGTAGGAATACAGTCAATAAAGGAAAAAAAAATTCGATGCCTCAATTCTCTATAAGAGTTGTTCCCTGAATACTTATTGGGTGCCCACTATGCATCTACTGCTGCATAAGACAGTGGTTCTGCAGAGGTGATTCTAACATTTCTGCTCAGTGAGATCAGAGGAGAGTGATTCAAATCACATATGTGAAAAGGGCTAAACTATAGCTATGAGAAGGAAGTATAGGGAAAGGGCTCCTTACTAATTCCAGGGGTGGGAAGTAGAAATACTAAAAAGGGAACGAAGGAAGAGAAATGGAAATGATGGGTAAAGGAAAGGGAAGTTATTCAAACCTGAAGTCTGCTGAAGTCATGAGTAGCAAAGATCAAATTCATATACTATAATGTTCTGTCTTTGTAAAAAAAAAAAAAACTACCTAAATTTTTTTTTTGTAAAAATGGGAGATTAAGATTGCCAAAACTGGAATTATAACCCATTTGCATTCTTATGTACTAGTATATTATGGAAGACCTGGTAGTCTTGAAATCTTTTCTTTTTCTAAATTCTAATAGTGGAAACCTTTAACTTTCCATTTGGCAAATGGACACAGTTATGTAGAAAAGTCATCATTCTCATAACAACTAGGCTTTTAATGGCTCTATAGTGTTTCTAAGGCTATATATTTACATCAGGAGTTTCTTAACTTTTTCTGTGCTCTGTCAGCCTGGTGAAGCATGTGGATTCCTTTCAATTATAAAATATGTGTAAATGTATAAAATAAAGTACACAGGATAATAAAAAATTCAATTATTTAAAGTAATTATCAAAATAGTTACCAAAATATTAAACAAACAAATCTGTGATTAGTAAAAATGTTTTTTTATAAATAACAAATATATTTACAGGGGTAAATGTAGTGGCAGGTCTAATAACTACCATGATTCTTTAGTAGTGATAACAGTAATTGTATTTAGAGATATCTGTCACAACTGTATAAAAATACAAGAACCTCTGTGATTACCTGTAGTGACAAAGTCACTCATGCTACTGCTGCTACTATAGCCTGTTGTCTTCGTTCATAACTAGGGAAAATGCTCAATTTCATTTAAAGGCAAATAAAAATAAATATTAATGTTATTTCTCATCTTAGTTCATGGACCCCCACTCCTCCCTGACTTGAAAGGAACCCAGGCTAAGACTCCCTGACTTAATGGCACCCTCTCTCTGTTCTCTGCCTTGTGGGCCAGATGAGGTTTAACTGAGTACTGGCTGCTAAGTGGAGGCTTGGATTCTCCTCTGAGTTGAGGAGAAAGTGAAGAGTATCTGCTGGGAACCCACCCCACTCACATGTAAGCCTTGTAATTGTTGCCTATCTTCTGGACCCGGATGTCATACTTGGCGTCAATGAAAGGCTCTGCTGTGGCGTAGGTCTGGGTGAGGGCTACCACGCTAGCAATGTCCTGGAAGTCGTAGTGGTTTTCCACTTTGACCTAATTTTGGAGCAAGGCAGAGAGGGAAAAAAGGAGACATACACATACACACACTGAGAGTCACAAGGATCCAAGGCCTCCAAACCCATCAAGATGTTTCCATTCGAGTTGCAAGCCTGAGTGCCACATCTTAGGAGAGTCCTTCTCTCCAGCTTCCCTTCCTAGGCTCAGGAGCTACACTTACTGCAAAAGGCCCAATGGACCAAGAAGGTGGCCTACACTCGGCTTGTTGAAAAGGCCTGTTTGGGTAACACTCATGGTTTCAGAGGAGCCAAATCATGGAAGAATTAATCAATAACAGAGGGAGAATAGTCCATAACCAGACTCTCTGAAAAGTACCCTTCTTGGCCTCAATTCCAAAGCACGGCAGGCCCCATCCTTACCTTGCCCATGCCTGAGTGAGCATGGCCAATCTTCACCACCACAGGGAATGTGGGCAATGTCAGCTGAAAGCAGAGGAGAAAAGAATGGATTGGTCAGAGTGTGCCTGTTTTTCTGTGAAATGTTACAAATATTTTTCTTGGGAACACCCTTGGAAGGGCCTTTTAAAACACTAGTCCAACCTATGTGCTTTACAAATACAAAAAACCGAGGCCCATAGAGTGACAGTAACTTGCTTAAGGTCCCAGCATGTTAATGGCAGATCTATAAGAACTCTGTTTTCCTACTTGGTACTCTACATCTTTAAAACTAATTGTTTCAATCTTCTCTGCATTAGACAAACACAGGGCAGGACTGGAGAATTGGAAAAAATGCATCTTTTTTAAAATATATTTTTTATTGATTTCAGAGAGAAAGGGAGAGGGAGAGAGAGATATAAACATCAATTATGACAAGGAATCACTGATCAGCTGCTTCCTGCATGCCCCCTACTGGGGATGGAGCCCGCAACCCTAGCATGTGCCCTTGACCGGAATCGAACAGGTGACCCTTCAGTCCACAGGCCAATGTTCTATCCACTGAGCAAAACCGGCTAGGGTGAAAAAAATGCATCTTTGAAAGGGTGAATTTTACTGTATGCAAATTGTACCCTAGTAAACGATAATTACAAAAGGAATATATCTTTGGAATCTAATGTCCCTTTTGTCATGTCCCTCGTAGTATCCTCCCCTCCCGCTCAAACATCTAGCTTTCCTATACTGAACCTATCTTTTCTCCACATTTCACAGTCTCTTCATTGCTCACCAACACCCCAAGCTCAACCAACAAACAGTCTAGTACAGTGATGGCGAACCTATGACACGCGTGTCAGAGGTGACACGCGAACTCATTTTTTTGGTTGATTTCTTTGTTAAATGGCATTTAAATATATAAAATAAATATCAAAAATATAAATCTTTGTTTTATTATGGTTGCAAATATAAAAAAATTTCTATATGTGACACGGCACCAGAGTTAAGTTAGGGTTTTTCAAAATGCTGACACGCCGAGCTCAAAAGGTTCGCCATCACTGGCCTAGTATGTTTTTTCTGCCCAGCTTGGGGTTTGGAAGAGAGCTGACATAAAAAGTCAACATGTTTGTAATTTGAAAGAGATCCTTATGAGGGTAAATGCTACTTTGAGGTAGTTGTATTTTAACAGACAAATAATAAAAACTTAAAAGAACTACTCTCCAAACCTACCTTTGCCCCCACCTTGTATAAGACATGGTCTCTCCAGTGAGTAGCAACATGAGATAGGAATCAGTAGGCTACTATCTGAAGAGGCTTTGAGGTCCCAGGTTTATGCTAGGTAATGAGATACTCTGCTTTGAGCTCACACCAAATGCACTGTCCTCGGCCATCTGCAGTCTGAAGCTCTGGGTATGGGAAAGGGTTTCTAAAGCACTGGCTGCTTTCTCTGACATCTCTCCCCACCCCCCAGCCGACAGAGCCAAGACACACACATACACACACACACACCCCAACTTTCTCTGTCTTATTCCATTACTGTTTACTGTTGCTTTGGAGCCTCCTAAATAGGGCATTGAAAACACTTCCTGCAGCTGAAAGAAGCCCTGAGAAGCTTGTCTCATTCCCAGTGTGCAGCTCAGCAAGGGGTTCGTCCTTCTCTGTCACTGTCTTTTGCCTGTTGTAATTCTGTCTGCCTCTCGATGACTCTGCCTGTCTCACTCTTTCTGTTTGTGCCTCTCCTCACTCTTGTTCTTTCTGCCTGAATCACAGTCGCTTGGTCTTCTGCCTCTTGCATTTGTCTTTGTTGTGCTTTCTTTTTGCCGTTACACCATCCCCTCTCCCAGTGCCTTCCCTCCACTTCTAGGAGGCTTAATTGCTCAGGCACGGAAATGGAAGCTAAGGGCTTCTCCTGGCTTCCCTCTTCATTTTATTGAGGCTGCCAGTCAGGAGGGCCGTGGGTCCTGTAGCTGCGGGTGGCTTACAGCCAAAGGCGGGCGGAGCCCACAGGGCGGGATTGGCCCTAGGTCCACCTCATAAAGCCTAGGGCGAGGGGCGCGAGACGTTCTGAAAGTGCCCTGGAGAGTCTGTTTGATCCGACAGACCCCACAGGCTTAGTTGGGGTTCTGCAGTGTCATGCCCCGGAGCCTCCAGACCGTGTCGAGCTGGGCGCTGTTGCTGCGGCTGCTGGCATTGCTGCGGCCGCCAGGGCTGGGCGAGGCGTGCAGCTGCGCCCCCTCGCACCCCCAGCAGCATGTCTGCCACTCCGCGCTTGGTGAGTCCGGAGGCCTGGGAGGTACACAGCTGGGGGTGGTTGTGTGTGATTAGTACGGGGCATTGCTGTAGACCTGTAGTCTGGAGGGAATGGGAGGAGCTCAAATCCTGCACCAGCTGCCTCCGGTTGGGGTTGATGGGCAAGGCCGGCACCATAGCAACCTTGCAGGGGCAGAGCTTGGCTGACTTGTAAGGAAATTAAGACTGTGTAAGGGGCCTCCATAGCGGCCCCCTCACCCCTGCCTACTGTCATTGAACAAGTCACTGGAACTATCCTGTGATTATTCTGAACTACTGGATGGGGGGAGGGGAAAGCCAGCGCCAGGAGGTTGGGCTTTCCTTATAAACCTCCCTGTGTCCAAGCCTACATATAACTGAGCCATCATACACTCACACCAATATACATCTTTTACCCTTTCTCTTCCCTCTGCCTGGAATGCCCTTCCCCCCATCCTTAAATTCCTGGCAAACACCTATTCATTCTTCAAAGTCTCACTCAGGTATCCCCTTTTCTCTGAAGCCTTCCTGACTCCTTGGTGCTACTATGGCATTTTTAACATTTTTGTGCTTCTACTATGCTGTGCTATTGTTTGCAAATGTGTTCTCCACTAGACCAAGAGTTCTGCAGGATAGAGGACCCTGTCTTAATCACATCTATGACCTGGTACCTAGTGTTAGGCCAGGCACAGAGGAAGAACTTCATGAACAGTTTTTGATTAATTACCAAATGGCAAAAGATGAGCTACCTCTGTGCAGGGTCAGATCATTTATTAATTCAATAAACATTTGGGCTCAAGATACCAAAACTCTGGGCAGGCTCTGTTTTAGGCCTTGGGCTACATCAATAGATGACCACACTGACCTACCCTCAATGGGCTCCTTCTCCCTCCTCTATCCTGATGCCCACCCCCAGTCCCTGGTCTATGAGCTAGACTCAAAACTAGCAAGTAAAGTGTAGAGACTGTAGGACCTAATAGGCCTGCCTGCACAGGAGTTTCCAGGTCCCCACTCTCTCATATCCTCCTCCTCACAATCCAGAATTCTCCTACAAAATTCTCCAGGGGCCCCAGGCCATCCAGATCCCAAATTACCCCCACAGGTTGCTGAAGGTTCCCTCTTTTGCTTCCTATGCAGTGATCCGGGCCAAGATCTCCAGTGAGAAGGTAATTCCTGCCAGTGCAGATCCTGCTGACACTCAAAAAATGATCCGGTATGAAATCAAACAGATAAAGGTACATGGGGACAGGATAGCACTTTTACCTTCTGGGCTTTTGGGAGGGTTAGGGTGTGTGTTTTGGGAAGGGTGGTGCTTATAGGTCAGGCAATCTGGCTCAGTGATCCTGGATGTTGATGCTAAAGTGGAAGTGGATGACATTTTGGGAATAGGGCCCACAGAATCTGAATGACAGTGCAGGACAGACCCTCAATGTCCCTCTAGTTCTATAGCTGCCTGTGCATGGGGCTTCTGGAGGTACCTCCCCTCTCACTGGAATAAACCAAGGTTTTTTAAAAAAGAGAAATGACCCAGTTAGGCCATCTGTGTGCATCAAATCCTGAACTAGACATTTGCTTAATTTCTTTAGACTGAGAAATGAGAAATTTTCCCTGTTAAAATATAAAGTTCACTCATTGACCTAATATAATACTGCTTTTTTGTAATTGTCTTTCAGATGTTTAAAGGGTTTGAGAAAGTCAAGGATATTCAGTATATCTATACACCTTTTGATTCCTCCCTCTGTGGTGTGAAACTAGAAGCAAACAGCCAGAAGCAGTATCTCTTGACTGGTAAGTTAAAGAGCAGCAAGTGGCCCCAATAGTCTCTGTCCTAAGGAAGGCAGCCAAGGAGGAGCCAGGGCTGCCCTTGGGCAGCAAGCTGAGCAGGTAACACATTCTTGGGTATAAAACAGAGCTGTGTTACTTACTAAGAGGCAACCTCTGAATCAGGAGGGGCCTTGGTTACCTCCCTTTCAATGCAAGAATCCTCATTACAGTGACCTTGGCCACTGTTTCACTATTTTAGGAACAGGTTGCTCTCACAGCCTAGGGTAGCTGGTTCCATTTTTAAACAGTTTTAATTGGCATAAGATTTTTGGTATCTTGAGCCCAAGTCTGCCCCTCTGAAACTGCTCTTTGTGGATTCAGCTCTGCCCTCTGCTCTATGATGATGCATCAGAGGCCTGAGGACAATAGATGCAAGCACTCTAACTTCAGGTCTGCTGGCCATCTTCTCCAATGAGATATTGTCCCTGTCCCTTTCCTGTCATAGTACAGGACAATGAGCTGGACACAACACTACAGGAAAGGTCTTAATTTCACATAGTAAAGGAAAATTGTGTGTGCGATCCCCTCTCCCTCAACACACACATTATAGTTACTGTAGCCTCTGATGGCATTAGCTTTAGACAGCCACACTGGATCATACTCCTGAGTCATAGTGAGTCTGTGTGGCTAACTCACACCCCAGGCCCTATTAGCGGGTAGAGTAAAGCACAAACTCTAACAGGAGCCTTGAGTCTAACATGGTTCTGTTTCCACGAACTTGGGCCCAGGTATAACTACTTGCAATTATAGAAGGTATTCAGCTGGACTGTGCCCCTCCACCTTTGCACAGGATAGTCCCAATGTTCAGAAGTCTTTTCCCCAACTTGTCTGGCAGGTAAACTCCATGCTGAATTGGTTGAGATAGAACAATTCAAGAACCACATAAAACTATGACTCTATAAGTGAGTGAATGCTATACTATAGTATTTTGTAGTTCAGGAAGAAGGTATTTATGTGCTTAT